GGACGCAGGAGTGACAGGTCGCAGGAGTGACAGGACGCAGGAGTGACTTGTGTCTGATTGGCAGATTAAAATAATGAAGTCAGTGATGAGTGAAGACATTTTCAGTGCTCGGTTGTATTTTCTGTGAGTTTGGTACCAGCAGGTAGCAGCACACCAGGGTTTCATTTTTGTCTTTATTACCTTAATGTTTATTAGCCCAATAATATCTATACATCAACATGAACAGTAATAATGCTCTTTAAAAATATAGGTAATATTATACATTTAATCATATTATCGTCCGCAGACCTGATGAAAAGCAACAGAATCCTTTAAATAAAGTGGATTTGGCCGTCAGCTACTGTAAGACCAGTTTGAAGTGCAGCTCCAGGACGCACATAGACACCATTACTGACAGAAAAATCACATCTCAAACTATTTCTCATTAGAAATTAAGTAAAGTGACATCAAAGCAAAGAGCCAAAATCATGTCAGCATCAACATAAAGAACGTCTATAAACTGGAATGCAACTAAATCAACCTTCCTGTGTTTAAACGCTGTAAAGGAACTCATCTGAGCTGCTGAGGCGCTCGTCCTTTAACTTCACCACCAGCTGCTGAAGCACAAACACTCCAACAGGAAGTGGAGGGAAACTGTGAGCATCACTTCCTTAATGTGTGAAGCCCTGTTGATCTACAGGCAGTGAGAGCTTTATGACTTTTCAAGGTCCACTTCAAACTTAATGCAACTTCGAACTCAGAGCGCATGAAACATTTGATGTAGAGAAGCTCACAGTCGTCCCTGCTGTGGTTCAAGCCTGAGCTGTGGCATCAAGTTGATGCTCATTCAAATGTTCTGAGCAGGTCCAGCAGTTTGTAACGTGTTACAAACTTGATTTAAGTCCAAGGGTTAACCTCGAGCATACCTTCAGTACGTTTCATAAATATACACCTGCACAACTACAGTCAAACACCCTCCATCTTGGTGAACGTCTGACTCATGCATATATAACAGGGGGGGGGGGGGGGGTCGTCCTACATTTGGTTTTTCTTCAACATCACGGGGAAGTTATTTTACGTGTTCATCAGGACTCTGACTTACTTTGTACACTGAGCATCATCTTTAGCTCGTTCACTGCTCAGTCCTGTGCACGTGTGGACATGAATCATTCTCACGTGTGGAACTATTTGAAAGACGTGAAGGATTAGAGAAGGTTCCATCAGCGTTAATGCCGTTAGTTTTACAGAGCGCCCCTTCACTGATGCTCACTGTTCTCCACTCAGACATGGCTGTGAAACACGTCTCTGGTGAGTCCTGGTCCCTGGTGGACCTCACATCTCCTCTGGTCTTCTTCATGGCACCACTTCACTCATCAGAGACTCCATGGCAGAGAGGAAGCACGCCTCGAACTCCTGGTCAGAGAATCGTCCAACAGAGTCGCGGGCAGCTCGTCTTATCTCCAGTCTAGCTGACGGCGCCAGCGCCAGGATGGTTTCCATGGTAGCAGCATAGCTGTCCTCGCTGTCTGCCAGGAAGCCCGTCTGCCTGCCCTCGTGCGGCACCACGATGTCCAGCTTCGGCCCTCCTGACTTGTGGGCAAGAACGATGGTGCCTGCAGCCATGCACTCCACCACACCTGCAGAATCAAACCACTGATGAGTGTCCGAACCAGGTCACCTGGTCCAGAACCAGGTCACCTGGTCTAGAACCAGGTCACCTGGTCCAGAACCAAATACAGGTGGGCACAAGTCAGCTGAGTGTCTTTAGAGGGGTGTTATCAACTTGATCCAGCTGTGGCTTTCAAAGAGGAAGCATGGATCATTTCAATATCTCAACAAAAAGCTAAAATCTTAACACAAACACAGAAATTCTAAGTTTAACACAAACAACTTCCTGGATTGACAGCGAGTCGATGGATTTATTTAACTTAATCTCAGTAAAGCAACTCTGCATTTAATTCTGTCCCATTAAAGGGACAGAATTAAATGCAGAGTAGTCCCTCGTTTATCGCGGGGGTTCTGTTTTTTTTTTTTTAATCGATTAACAATTTTTAAACCATTTTTAAACTATTTTATCCTCAAATCGTGTCCCCATTGAGTTTGTTGATTCCTATAAATATTTGGGTATCTTGGTCGACTCACATCTCTCTTTTAAGCTCCATGTGGAAAACTTGTAAAGAAACTGAAAGTTAAACTGGGTTTCTTTTTCAGAAACAGATCCTGTCTAACCCTGAATGTTAGGAAACACCTTGTATCTGTGACTTTCCTTCCCTCCATTGATTACGGTGACATTATTTACATGAACACTCCTACAAGAACCCTGCAGATGTTGGATGCTGCAGATGTTGGATGCTGCAGATGTTGGATGCTG